TTAAGACTTCCGGTTTTCATTGGAAGGTCTTAAACAAATATTTTGCCGTGTAATCCTATGCAAGCACGCACTTATGGATGGAATTTAATGGATTTATTCCCAATAAGAAAATATATAAGGTAGCGTTTCTCAATTTCAGCATCCTTAAAATGTGTGGACTTTTAACTCCCAGAATTCCCTAGTCACCCTATGGCTGGCTAGGGAATTCTGGGAGTTAAAGTCCACACATTTTAAAGTTGCTGAAGTTGAGAAACACTGGTGTACAATATAGGGATAGAGATTTGGAGTGCATAAGATAAAAGTCTCAGTTGAATTCAGTGGGGCTTACTCCTATGTTACTAATACATCTTTAGAAAATGTTTTTAAAAAACCTAACTCTCTTTGAAAGTAGATATACAAAGAATAAACAAGCCCTTCTATCCCTCTCCATCTAGGTTGCGCTGCCCTTTTTTAATATTTTATTTGAATTTATTAACCTCTCAACTCCAATAGACTTTTTAATTTGGCTTTTCCATCCTCTGCTACTTTAAAATGAGACTCAGAAGAGTTGGGTTTACAGTTCGGAAATTATTTTCTCTTTATTTTCAAGGGCCACGTGCCAGATATTTATTGGTACTAGTCTTCTTTGCACCAGGAGAGGGCACTTGAGGAACACAACAAACTTATCTCTGCTGAAAAAAGCAGGAATTTCTCCAGCCCTTAACTTTTTAATAACATGCATCAGCACCAATTAATTTCCAAAATGCTCTTTCCATTTCTGAGCACAAATCTAATTATGGTTTGATGAATAAGTAACATAAACCAGAGAGTTGTAATTTAGCAGATATTCATTGCACATGGTAAACAGGATTTGCATAAACATTATTCTAAATACAATTGAAAATATATAACCTTAATTATAAAACATCATTTTATATCGCATATAAATTATACTGTATATACTGTTCCCCAGTCTCTGTGAAAAGAAACCAGGCTTAAATTGTGCCTTTTTCTGCAGGGTCCCTGTGATATTGACTTCATTGTGTTTTCAGCCCAGGTGTGAGATACCTTAAAGCAAGGGTGTCAAACTCAATTTCATTGAGGGCCGCATCAGCATTG